AGCATTCCTTCCACCTCTCTCCTCCCTTCCCTCCGCTTCTGTGATCGCGTCCAGAGGACTAGCGTGACCAGAAAGGGGAGGGATTAAAGCAGGAGGGAAGGAAGGGGAGGGAAACAAAGAAGGATGAAGGGAAGGAACAGGGAGGAGAGAGGAGAAGCAGGGGAAAGAGGTGGTTGCGGGGGAGGAGGGGAGGGATAATGGTGGATAATTGTAAGTGGTGAAGTTTTTCAAATTTTTTAAACAATCTCAATAAAATTTTAAACTCTAAAAATACCCCAAAATACATTTTGAAAAACACATAATCTAAACGGACGAAACATTTTCCTTGAATACTATGTTACTTTGTGTAACTGAATACCTTTTGGGTTTTAAGAATTTTCAGAGTATTTAGCAATTACTATATATTTAGAAGAAAAAAAGATTGTGGAAAATGTACTAAAAATGATATTTGAGCTTGAAGTAGTACGACCTTGGCTCCATTTGGGTTAATTAAGTGGAAATGACCCTCGAATGTGTTCTAAGTAATCTTTGGTGTGGAACTTCAATTAAACACCCAAAAGAATAATTGGCCGAATTGAAACTTGTTAAAACACCACATAAAAAGTCAATAAATATCTCCATCCACAATCACTATTGTTGCAAATAAAATGATAAAGGAGTGGTCAAGTGCTTTTTCTGATGATTTGCAAGTACTTTTCTTGGGTGGCCAATGGGCTTTTCCCTCGTTCTATCTCACTCCAATTCTCTGTAATCATTATTAATTCTTTGGACTTGTACAAAAGGAAGAAAAAAATTTCAAAATACAAATACTATTCTTTTTTTTCTTTTTTTTTTCTTTTTTTTTACTTTCCCTTCCCTCCTCATATCTTGTCAAGTTTAGAAGTCAAATCCTAAACTTGACACCGAATTAACAATTTAAAGAAGAAATGGGTATCAATCGTGGAATCAACAGGCTGTCTAGCTTACATTAGTTGAACACTAGTCTAGTGATATCAATCTTTATTAGAGTATATCAATCTTTATTTGAACATAATATGGCATTTGCTTCACAAGTTTGCCAAATGCAATATGCATAAGAGACTGGCTAGTACAAAATATTGTCTGTCTATTTATCTTACATACATTATATCAAAAAAATATTGCAGTATTTTTTTTCAAAAAATTATCACAAATAATCTACTATCCAAACACAATGCTACGATATTTTTTTTTTCAAAAAATTAGCCCAAATAATTTTCTATCCAAACTCTTCTAGAAACTCATTAGTTTCTAGAGAAAAAGATGAGGAAGAGCACTGAGACTGCTCAACATATTAATTATTGGAGGAGAAGGGAGCCTAATCCGTGCAGAAATTTTAGTTTCTAGAGAAAAGATGAGAAAGGCAGCTGAGATTTGTACTTCTCAACAGTTTGCCAAAATGGTCCCTTAATACAGCTGTAGCCGTAGAAAATAGCTTACATGAGGACTTTTTTTTTTTTTTTGCCGCAAAAGGATAATTCCTATAACTTAATCTAGCCTAATTTAGAGGAAGGTGAAAGGGGACTCAATGTAAGTACAGACTCCATTAAAGAAGACCAATTAAAACCGCCACATATTGTGACAAATTTTGATGGGAGGTAAGAGTTAAACCTTGACCTCCCACACCACCATTCACCAAGCTGGTGGTGACCACAGGGCCAAAGGCCTAATGGTGCTTACTTGATGACTGATTTGGTCAAAAACAGCCCAAATTCGAAAGCACGTTTATCACAGGAAAGACAACAAAGACGAATATTAGTCATTGTCGGATGACAATTGAAGAAAACAAGAAATAGCCCAGATTCAAAATGAATGGTTAAAGCGTCAGTCAAAATATAGCACAAATTCAACAACACTGCAATAATTGAAAAGCAACATAGACGAATGCTAGTCGTTGGCAAATGAAAGCATGAAATCTCCGTCCTTTTGAGCCACAAGCTAGTCTTGTTGAGTAGAGTAAATCAGAGCATGTTGCTTTCGGTCATGACTCATGAGCCAAAGTGAATGTTGACTCCCCAAGGTGTGATAATAACGATTGATTTCCACACCTCCACGTAAAATCAAGATCCTGAGCTTCATGAAACAGATATAAGGGCTAGCTGGTAACTACCATCCTCCAGTTTTATGGGATCAATGGAGAGAGATATGGAACAATGCAGAACTCGAAAACATACAGTAGTGTTAGTTCCGCCGCCCCTTCAGGGGCACATGACTCCAATGCTTCAGCTGGGGAGCATTCTTTACTCTAAAGGGTTCTCAATTGTAGTCGCACACTCCGAATTCAGACCACCCGATCCTCTAAACCATCCTGGATTCATCTTTCACCCCTTGTCGGACAATTTATCTGGCTATCAGGCCTCTATCAACAATTTACTGGATCTCATATCCGCTATCAACAGCAACTGCAGAGCACCTCTGCAGGACTACATGGTTCAACTCATGGAAGATCAGAAGCTGCAGGGCTACCAGGTTTCTTGTATGATATATGATGCACTCTTGTTCTTTGTTGATTCGGTCTCTACTCATCTAAAGATTCCAAGCATTATTTTAAGGCCTAATATGGCTGCTTACATCCTATCTTGTCACTGCATCTGTCAACTTCAAGCAGAAAATCGTATTCCTTTTCCAGGTAAATAGCAAACTCTTGGTTTAATATCTCAATTAAAAGAAAAAAAGAAATCTTTACACGAAAGATTTGAGTCCTTTAAGCAGTAAGTTAGTCATTATCTGAACTTCTGGCGGCAAAAAATTGAAATATTGCGATTCACAGAGTCCAGGCTGCAGGAACCTGTGCCAGGGCTGCATCCTTTGAGGTTTAAGGATTTACCCTATCCAATTACTAATGAAATCCCAGAATGGCTTACGGATTTCAACGCTTCTTCAATCAACATACGCTCTTCTGTGGCCACCATTTGGAATACAACAGATTGTCTTGAGCATTCAACCTTATCACGGCTTCACCAATGTTACAAAATTCCATGCTTCCCAATTGGGCCTCTCCACAAGTTGGAGGCTGCAGCCACAGCTACTAGTTTCCTGGAAGAGGATCAGAGTTGCATTTCTTGGCTCGAAAAGCAACCTCCAAATTCAGTGATCTATATAAGCTTGGGCAGCATCGCGTGCATAAATGAACAAGAGCTAACAGAAACAGCTTGGGGACTGGCAAACAGTGGCATTCCATTTATATGGGTTCTTAGGTCTGATTCTATAGATGGATCTCAGTTGGATGATCACTTTCCTGAGGGCAGTTTCAAATCTTTACTTGGAGAAAGAGGCCTAATATTCAAATGGGCACCTCAGAAAAAAGTTTTGGCACATAGGGCCGTGGGGGGATTTTGGAGCCACTGCGGCTGGAATTCAACAATAGAAAGCATCTGCGAAGGCGTTCCAATGATTTGCAGACCACATTTTGCAGACCAAATTGTAAATGCAAGATACTTGACTTATGAATGGAAGGTAGGCCTGGAAATTGAGAACGTGCTGGATAGAGGGAGCATTGAGAAATCTATAAGACGACTAATGGTTGAGGTAGAAGGCAAAGAAATGAGGCAAAGAATGTTAATAATGAAAGATAAACTAGAAGCGGGTTTGCAGAAAGGTGGTTCTTCTTATGAGTCCTTAAATGACTTGACAGAGTTCATCACCTCAGTCTCGTCAGCAGTAAGGCAATGACAAGGTCAAGCCGATGTCCCAGCAACCATATCAAATGATACTACTTATGTGTGCTCATGGATTTCACATTTCCACTTTTGAATAAAAAATATGATCTCAATAGGGAGGTATAAAGATTTGGAAGCTACAACCTTGAGCTGCTGTTCCCAGAAGTCCTTAAGAGTACTTATCACTACCTAAGACTGACAAGTCCACAAAGGAGAACGAATAAAACAGAACAGAAAAAGCATCAAAGAGAAAAATCTGGATCTCTGCAGCCATAGCATGTTGAAGTTAATAGGCAGAGAATTTTGTGGGATTGAATATTCATATGGTTCTTATTCTTTTTCAGGAAAGTGACTTGCATGCTTAGCAAATTCCCCGGTAAAAACCTTCTAGCATTGACATAGCACTGTCTAAGACGCAAATTAAGGGACAAGTCATCTAGATACTGTTTCAGTACTAGTATTTTGTTGGCACAAATTCTTGAGGATAATCCATATGCAAAGTTTCTTAAAATTTTAGGATCATGTCAAATTTAGAGGATCAAAGTTTTATTCTCAATCTTAAGATCCAAGGTTGTCATGTTCAAGTATACATTTAATGTGATATTAGCCATATAACAGAATACTATTAATTGTCACTACTTGCATGGTATGAGAAAGAAAGTTTTCTTCCTCTTCTTCAAACGATGCAAATATTGATCCCTCTTGGTTGAATACACATCGGGTTTAATTGAGTTAGAAGAGAGAAGTTAATAAATTTTCTTTTCTAATTCATTCACTTTTTCTTCTTCCTTAGCTTCAACAACATAGCAAGCTCATGTTAAGATATAGATTTTCTAACCGTGAGCATTTTGTGAGGCTCAAGCTCAAATGTCCTATTTAGTTTGCTTATGAATAGTTTTGTGCAAATCAACGTGGCATTAGGGTTAAGAATGTTATCTTATTTGTAAGTGCCTACCCTTTTAGATTTTAAGAAATAGGTTACATAGGCCACAAATGTCCACATCCCTCAATCCCAAAAATTACCAGAACATCAAATCATTACAAGCAATTACATGTTCATATCCTTGAAGATGGTGCACAATTACATGCCTCATCCTAAGGAAACAAACTCAACTTTGCTAGACAAGCTTTGCTCTTGCAGTAGCTATAGCATCAGAATCAGCACTTTTCCCGGAAAGCTGGGCTAGCATTTGGACTACTTCATCCAAGTCTTCTTCTTGACTAGATTTCATTGTGTACTCTCAAATCTTTCATTTTCCTCCTCATAGGATACCCTCCATTTCCAATTACCACATTCTTGATCACTTTGTGCTATGTCTTCCCTCATAAGTCTCCCTTTTCATCTCTCATGATCTCCACAGCTAAACCATTTTCCACCATCAGCCTGGCATTGAGAGGCTGTTCATAGTTCATTGGCATGGCTAGAATTGGAACACCAAATTCTATTGCTTCTAATACTGAACCCCAACCACAATGAGATATAAATCCACCAATACTGGAATGGCCTAAAATCAATGCTTGTGGCGCCCATCCTTGAACAACCCTACCCCTACCTCTCACTCTCTCTAGAAAACCCCTCAGGTAAAATCTGCTCAAGTTGAACCCTGTTTTCCTCCCCTTTTGGTAACCTTAGGGCCCATATGACATTAACATTGTCGCTAAGCTCCAGCCCGAAAGCAACTTCTAGGATCTCTTCCTTGGTCAAAAAATATTCACTCCCAAAGGAAGCAAAAACGGCTGAATGTTCTTCTTTCTCTGCCAGCCATTGTATGAGATCAATATTCTGATGCTGCTCCTCGCCTTCTGGAGCAGCCGCAGGATATTGAACCAATGGACCGACAGGTAAAATCTTTCGGTTAAGATTATGAGCAGCATGATCCATATATGTCCCTTCAATCCACCTAGATGTATTAACCAGCATTGGTCCTGCTGGGAGCTGACATAGCATTCGATTAGGAGGAATACCTTCATTAACTGCACTAACTTTGACAATCTCAAAATCCCGGTAATGGATGTTGGGAAACGGATTGATTGATTGATTGATTGATTGACTGATTCCATTCTGCACTAACTGCAATGGATTCCATCCTGATTGATTGATTCACTTTGGTCTACGTGCAGAAATGAGTCATTTGGGGCTGATTAAATAGAGCAAGGATTTTTATTCTGTCATGTTAAAAAGAATTAAAGAAATCAAGAAGCCTTTGATGAGACCGTAATTACTCCAGCCAGACTATTTTATTGTTACCATAAAAGCACGGTCAATAAACAGCCGTTAGATGGAATCAATCAATAAAATGTCACGTTTTAATGGCTTGTCTTCAAAAAATTCAGGTAGATGTATTGTACACTCGTCTGATCCGATGGTATCCTTGGACTTCCTTAGTCCCGCCCCCTTCCCCTTAATATAGGATAGATTAGATTTATCGTCTCCGACAATAAATAAATAAACAGCCGTTACATATCCTTCGAATTGGAAAAAAGAAAAAGTCAAATGAATTCAACGCCAAATCATGAGATAGCATATGGACTCACTAACACGTGTCACTTTGTCATCAAATAAATGAGACCAGCAGCCGACTAGACTGACAACTTTGTCACTAGGCAGTAATCACCACTACTAACGTTACCATCTCCACCACTAATTAGTACCACCAACACCACATACGAACATGTTTTAAAGTTAAAATTTCTCAAATAGCATAAAGAACCCAATGGCATAAAAGTCTACGACACCTCTGTTATTACCAAGTTCAAGTCCCAATTCTAGTAAAATTTTGATAGGAAAATGAAATCTGGACCCATGGATTTTGCTTTCTTCACCACCACATCTACCATTCCCGCCACTCCCTTCTTTCTGGCCCTATCATGCTCCCGTCCTCCTTTCTCCCTCTTTCTTGATTTGTCCTCCCCTTCTTTGCTCGCTACTCCCCCTTTTCCTCACTTTGGAAATTAGTAGTATTTAATAATTTTTTTCAGGGTTAAAAACAAAAAAACCCCTCTATGATATACCTAATATACAAAAAAGTTTCCCGTGGTTTCAAAATGTACAAAACAACAACTCATATTTTGAACTAAATTATAAACTAACAGAATTAGATAAACTTAACGAAAATGATGGTCTTGGCTGTTAAACTTACAGGATTCCGTTAAATTTACCGTTAAGTTTACCGAATTCTGTTAAGTTTATCGGATTCCGTTAAATTTACTGGATTCCGTGAGTTTTATAATTTAATTCAAAATATGAGGTGTCGTTTTGTATGTTTTGAAACCATGGAGGGATTTTCTGTATATTAGATCTACCACAGAGGGCTTTTTTGTTTTTAACCTTTATTTTTTAAATAGCTATAAAGTACAAAAATTAACAATGAGCCAAAAATCCATTAGGAATATCAGTACAAAGCCCATGCTAACGTGGAGAAACAAAGTTCCTGCCAAATAAACATGACACTCAATTACATGTCTAAAAAAATATATCCAAAAAAAGCCATATATAACATATTATGTGGCAGTTGACAATAAGATATTTAATTATTTATACTTATCTACTTGTGGAATCCATGGATTGTATTCTCGTCTAGGTGAAAGCCCCAGTAATGTTAATAACAAAGAGTTGTTGTCCCCATAGATTCCCTCAACAATCACTGTAATGAAGTTGAGCAAATAGAACAATAAGAATTGGGATAATTACGGAAACCTCCCCTGAGGTCTCAAACAATTTCAGACAACTCCCCTTAGATTTCAGAAATTACACCAACCTCCCTTACTTTCACTATTTATGCTTCAAAATAGGTCCAATAGGCTATCATTTCTTTCAAATACCTTAAACTACCCTTTTTACCCAAAAAATTAAAAAGAAAAAAACAAGAGCTTTGCTGAATGTTGATTGCATCCATTGATTGCCTTCTTCCAAATTAGACTATCACGAAAGTCATGAAATCTTTTCTACCAAAAAAATAAAAGACAAAAATAAGGAATTCTGATGATTGTGTTCTTTTAAGCAACGCTAATAGGAAAGTCAAGCCACCACCCCAATTTGAATCAAAACCAATTCCAACAACTGTGGGTACCCAAAAAACCACAATCCAATTTATTTCCCGCAACCTGAAAAAATCTCACCACTTGTTGATAAGACTCGACCTCAAATTTTGCCCAAAACAATAATTCGTCAACAATCAACCCCACTCTCAAATCCCCTTGCCTCTTCCTCTCATTACAGCCATTTTTTTTCAGCAAATCATTGTCTAAAATCCAATATCCATCTCTCAAACTTTTGATATTTGACATCACCAAGTTTTATCACCCATAATCAACCAAAATCGAATAAAATAGATGCAAAATAATCAAACCCACTACACTTGGAATAGGGGGAAAAAAGAGAGATGAGCCTAGTCACGTTTGCAAAGAGAAGGGGAGATGTATGGGAAATAAAAAAGGAGAAGGGGAAAGGAATATTGAAGGGAGCTTCCTGAAATTATTAAAAACCTCAAGGGAAGTTTCTGAAATTATACCATAAGAATTTATAGACCTATTTTTAGTTGGGAATTTGACTTTAATTATCTCCCTAGATTTAGAAGTTGGTGATAGCAACTTGACAGGAAAGAAATTATTTTTAAATTTTTTAATAGTAGAAGGATAAAGCATTAATCACCGGCAAATTGGATTCCATTTAGGTCTTAATCACTGACTTTCTTTATAAAGTAATAAGGAATCAGCAAATTAACTAACTCTAGCATTCTGCACTACAGTTTATAAATCACTCAATTTGCTACATTAGCCCAACGTACCATTTTTTTAATTTTATTTTTTTTTCGCAGGTCTAATACCTAAAGAGGTTGACAACTTTTAAAGATTTGCTAGAATAGACCGAAGGGGTTCCATATCAGGAAAATCTTTAACATCTCAGCACTGAAATATCTATGCCTTCCATTTAACCGCCTCTCCAAGACCCTTCCTTTTAACTATGAGTTACTCCCTCCATCCCACTTTGATAGTCCTGCTTTCCTTTTTTGGTCTGTCCCAAATTGTAGTCCACTTTCCAATTGAAAAATATAGTTATATTTTAATTTTTCTAAAATACCCTTATTCAATGCAAGTTGTTGTTACTATAAACTTATCCCATTTAATGAGAGTTTATTCTTTTTTTACCATCAATTCAAGTTCCCATAAAGTTGTACTCTAATTAATGTGAGGGTATTTTAGGAAAATAGCTACCTAAATTGATTGTTCCAACAAAGTTAATTACTTTTTCTTAAACTGTGTGAAAAAATAATCAGGACTATCAAAGTGGGACGGAGGGAGTACAATCTATGCAATCTTAAGACTCTCTAATTGGAACAAAATTCCCTAACCGGATTATACCAAATTCCATGTCAAATGCATCAACGCCATTGGTTGTGCCTATGTTTAGTTATAGGGGTTCCCAACTTCAATGCCAAAGTCTCTAGGGAATGAGCTTTATCACTTCCTCGTAGATATCTAAAATGTTTATTAGTGATTGGTAATCCTTTGAATCTAAATCGTCTTCTTCCCACCATTTTTAACCTAAAAAGCTTCTCCTGAGTTTTTAAGTGCTAGAAGTTGCAGATCATAGGTAACATTCCAAGCTAAATGAAATGGGCAATTTGTAGAGTTCTAACCTTAGATCAATCAACAATGAAGTGATTCCTTCAAATAGCAAGAAATCACTTCTATTCCTTTCTCCTAGAAATAGTTCCTCACCTGAAATGGAATGGGAATTTAAAAAAAAAAAGGTGCTTACTTATCTTTTACATCGTATATCTATTATTTAAGAAAAGATTATTGGCAGATAGTAGGCAATTTAAATGGCTATAACCTTAGACCTATTGCAGAATGTGCGGATCCCTTAAAACTATAGCTGTCAAACAAATCCATTTAACTGAATTTACCCATACTCGCCTGGGAATAGATGTGTATAAGTATGTTAAATTTTTGCATATAGGTATAAATGGGTATTATTGGGTAATTCATCAAATCCAATTAACCTATTTAGAATTGTCTCCTCCCCCCCGGCCCCCCCCCCAACAAACCTCCTCTCTTCCCTCATCCATTAACTTGCTCATTTTTCACCATTATCAATTTATGACAAGTTTTAACCTCTTTTCTTATTTTTTCAAAATGAAATTTTAAATTTACACACGAAAAAATGCTAGAAGTTCAAAATGTTTGGATTAAGTTTTTATGTTAATTTTTATAGTACTTAGTTCAAATTTTTATATTCTTATTGTTTAATTATTAAATAGTATGTAATTTTGCGACATAGAGTACATATGGGAAAATTTTGATAATTAGGTTTATTGAGCATTATAAATAAATATTTAAAACTAATGATAGGTGCAAAGGATGATATAAGTTGATAACTTAGTTTGCAAAAATGAATTTAAAAAAAGTTAAAATAAATGGATTATAAATGGATAATTAGGTTACCTAATTCATTTTTTGACTTACCCATTTATACACATCTAATTAAATGAGTATAAATGGATTGACTCACTTATACCCATTACCCATTTTACCCAACCCAAATCCGCCAAAATCACCCAGTTTGACACCTCTACTTAAAACAATAAAGAAATTACCTGTATTCCTTTCTTTTGTATCATTTCCTCTACCTGAAAAGGGAAAAGAAAACCACAAAATTACCTGCGTTCCTCCTTTTACCAATTCTAATCCTTTGGTATGTCGACTTTCTCAATTAGCTATTCATGCTAGCATCAATTCTAGTTAAGGTTTTGCAAAACAGTTTGTCGGTAGAAATTAAGTGATTATGGTAGTGGTTCTCGAGATTTCTTCAAAAGGATGCTATATTTTTTCCCCTTGTGCAACAATGTTTACTTGAAGAATTGAATTGCTAATGAACAGATCGAATTGCTAAAATCTATTTGTCGTTTTCAATATAATTATACTTGGAATTAATCTTACATCCTC